TTTTTGTCGAATTTCTTCAAATTTATTAGTGTTTTTGGGAAAAAGTCTGAGTTTGAATGAATCAGTTAATCAATCAGTCCTCGCTTCTGCCTTGAGGACACAAAATCAACCAAATTTCATTTTCTTTTAATCGCTCAGGTTTGTGCTAGAGTCGAATTCGATCGAAGTATAAACATAAACAGTTGAAGTTAAGCATCCACTGAGAAATTGAAATTGTCTACATTTTTCCCGTTAGTTACCTGCTTTAAATATATTTCATATTCGAATAGGAGTTCGAATCTAATTTTATAATTTTTTAAAGAAGCCGATTTATCGGACCGTACTTCAAAGGCGAGGGAAGTTCTGTTAAAATACCCTTCTACAATTTTTTTTCTAGCTTTGTTTTTCTTGGTAGCGTCATCAAAATTGCAAACACAACATATTTTTTTCAAAACGTCAACAAAACTGATATAATAACAGTAATAATAATACCCAAACAACATCTATATACAATACCACAGGGCCCCACTTTGTAAATTTTCCGGTCCTCAATCCGACACTGGTTGTGTGTACCCCGGTGAAAGACAACTTTTTCGGCCTCATCTGATCAAACTCAAACTTCAGACCGGCCGAAAAAGTTCTTCTTTACGGTCTTGACACACAAATAACTATTCTTGCTCTACTGATTCACGTTTTTATTTTATATAATATTTTATGAAACATAAAATGCACATGAAAAAACGGTGGATTCAAAAAATGTTTTATATGATAATGCCATATTTACTTCCCGATAATAACTGTTTTCTCCGAAACTACTGGACCGATTTTTCAATTTCTCGAGTTTTCAGTTGTTCGATGTTTTGGGATCTTTCAATACATTTTTCGATTTTTCGATTTTTAGAGTTTTCCATATTTCAGTTTTTCGATTTTTTAAAGTTTAGATTTTTCGATGTTGATTTTCAATTTGCAATTTTTCTATGTTTTAATTTCTCGGTTTTTTAAATTTTAGTTTTTTTGATTGCTAGATTTCTGTTCTTCGATTTTTCCATTTTTCAATTTCTGGAATTTTTATTTTAAATTTTAAGTTTTTTATTTTTTGATGTTTCGATCTTTCGATTTCTCGGCCCTCGGTTTTAGATTTCTCGATTGTTATTTTTTTTCACCAGATTTAGATCTTTCGATTTTTCGATTGTTCAATTTCGCAATTTTTCTAATTTTCAATTAGATTTTGCGATTTTTTTAAATATAAAATTTTTCTTTTTTTCAGTTTTTAATTTTTAAATTTTGAGCTATTTCGACTTCGCGATGTTTTCATGTTCTCATGTTTTTCAATTCTTCAATTTTTTCATGTTCAGTTTTGGGATTTTTCAGTTTTTCAATTCTCTGATATTTATTCCATTTTTCGACTTCTAGGTTTTAAATTTTTGGTTTTTAAAATTTTTGATTTTTCGATTTTTCAATTTTTCGATTTTACCATTGAATTTCCCGATTTCTTGATTTTTAATTTCAAATTGTTCTTTTTTCAGTATTCGATGTTTCGATTTTGGGCTATTTTGATTGTTCAACTTTTCGATATCTCGATCTTTTTGAACTCAGATTCAATTTCTCGATTTTTCGATATTTTGGTCTTTTCGATTTTTGTATTTTCCAATTTTTGGACATTTCTGTTTTAGGGTTTTCAATTTCCCGATTTTTTAATTGTTTGATGTTTCAGTTTGGGAATTTTCAGTACATATTTTGAATTTTCAATTTTAGATTTTTCGATTTCTCGATTTTTCAATTTTTCCAAGATTTTAATTGTTCCATTTTTTAAATCTTAGTTTTTTCGATGTCTCAGTCTTTCGATTTTTCTGTTTTTCAATTTCTGGAATTTTCAAATTTTAAGTTTTTCAATTTTTGATGTTTCGATCTTTCGATTTCTCGGCCCTCGATTTCAGATTTTTCGAGTGTTATTTTTTTCACCAGATTTCGATCTTTCGACTTTTCGATTGTTCAATTTCGCAATTTTTCTAATTTTCAATTCGATTTTGCGATTTTTTTAAATATAAAATTTTTCTTTTTTCCAGTTTTTAATTTTTTAATTTTGAGCTATTTCGACTTCGCGATATTTTCAATTTTCGATTTCTCGATGTTTAAATTTTTTCATGTTCAGTTTTGGGATTTTTCAGTTTTTCAATTCTTCGATATTTCTTCCATTTTTCGACTTCTAGGTTTTAAATTTTTGGTTTTTAAAATTTTTGATTTTTCAATTTTACCATTGAATTTCCCGATTTCTTGAGTTTTAATTTCAATTTTTTTTTCTGTATTCGATTTTTGATTGTGTAACTTTTCGATTTCTCGATCTTTTTGCGCTTCGATTCAATTTCTCGATTTTTCGATTTTTTTATTTTCCAATTTTTGGACATTTCTGTTTTGGGGTTTTTCAATTTCTCGATTTTTTAATTGTTTGATGTTTCACTTTGGGAATTTTCAATACATATTTTGAATTTTCAATTTTAGATTTTTCGATTTCTCCATATTTCAATTTTTCCATTTTTTCGATTTTAAATTTTTCCAGGATTTTAATTGTTCCATTTTTTAAATCTTAGTTTTTTCGATGTCTCAATCTTTCGATTTTTCTGTTGTTCAATTTTTGGAATTTTAAAATTTTAGGTTTTTCAATTTTTGATGTTTCGATTTTTTGACTCGGTTTTAGATTTTACAATTTTAAATTTTTTTATTTCTCCAGATTTCGATGTTTCGATTTTTTTTATTTAAAATTTTTATTTTCTAAATTTTAAGTCAAATTTTATATGTACGTTAGGAATAAAAAAAAATTGTATGACAACATTTTGCATTTTTACTTTTTGAACTAAACGTTTTATAATCAAAATTTATACATTTATCTCCACCCAAAAAATTGATGACCTCATCTCAAAATCCTATTTAAAATATGCAAAATATTATGAATTTGCACTTGTGGTTTATCAATGCATCCATATTTTTTAATTACTTATACAAGGTGGCTCAAAAAAAATTAATGATTATTACTAGTATTACACAGCACTTAATCAAATTGACATAAGTGTCTTTGTTAAAATGTTGATGACGTCACCACAAAATTTTGTTAGGTAAAACTCACTTGAAACATACCACAGCATGCTTCTTCGTTATTACCAAAAATTAATAATAATAAAATTGAAAAAATTTAAATTTGTTCGCCTGTATTTCAGGAAATTTATCTAAATAACTTTTGACCAATCTTTTTGCATAAAAATTAAAAGTAAAACGAAAATATTGTTTGTACAATGTAGAAACTCTCCATAAAATCAGTAATTTATGCACAACAAAATAAAATAGCTCGTGGTATTACAATGACTTCATTACAGTACAAAAAACCCAACTTTCTCGCAAATTCGTGAATTTTGGATTTGCCGTGAGACTGAAAATGTTATAAATTTTTCCAAAAACATGTACCTTAATATCGCTCCAGCTGAAATTTTTTTCCTCGGATTTATATATGTTTTAAATCCTCGAATCTGTAAATTAGTTCTACAAATGTTTAATACAAAGCGTTTTCTTTCGAAGTTTACTGTGTTTTTACTTATGTTAAGTGGTCAAGATTGCTTTAAAGCTCATGTGTTTAAAGTAAACAAATTAGTTGTACGTGAAAAATCTATAAAGGAAAACCTGTTTCCAATATTATTCGCTGTCACTCTAAATGAAAACACATTTTGTTTTCAAATGAAACTACCCTTGATTTATAGCATTTTTAATACAGCATTATTTCTTCGATATAGTGACGTAAAGTTTATACAATAGGTTATATAGCAATATTTAAAAAAAAAATCGAGTAAATCCAAATGAATGAGACCATACAAAATTTGTTTTTGACTAAAAAATTCGACTAAAAAATGTAAAATCTTTAATTTAATGTCATTTAATTTATTCTTTTTTTTTAAGACAATAATACCATCTTGTATTTTATCTAGTCCAGATCATATACAGTGTGTCCCCGGCTTAAGTTTACACGAGGAAATAAATATTTGTTTTTTCTAAGAAAATGTCAACGAAATAAAAATTGTTTCTGCACCCAACACAACTAATTCTGCAATTAAAACTTTAGTAGGAGTGTTTAAATAAACAGTCAAAATCATTTTTTTTTTTTAATAAATGATCTGGATAAAAAATTTATTTATTTTAAAAATCTGCATTCATTAAAAGTTTTTGTGGGTGAAATAGTTGTTTTAAATGAAGCCAAAATTTTTATTTCTTTATCTTTTTTCTTTAAAATAAAAAAATCCAACGCCAAATTTTCGAAAAATATTTATTTAATTTTTTTAACTTACAACAAAAAATAAACTTTCTAGTACTTTCATTAATTTCTAAAGTTGTTTTTCTATTATATGCCTCATAGATACATACAATATCGAGAAAATTAAAAACTCAAAATTTCAAACAGTTTTTTAAATTAAGGTAAATTTGACTTTGTAGCAAGTACAGAAAAATATATAGCATAAAAATTAGTTATTTCACTATAATTCCCATTTAATAAAATTTGAAAGAATAATAAATATCGTTCTATGGTATCAAATTTTACAGTCATATCAAAATATTGTGCAATGTTAATTTTCAAAAATGTAACGAACACTTGGTCGCTCCTTTTGAAAACTAGATACACATGAAGTCATATTTTAAAAAATCTTGACGTTAAAATGTGCAACAATTAAGAAAAGCTTTTTGTTTTAGAAAACATTTTTTTTAATAATTTTTTTTTTGTTGACAGTTTAGCTTTTAACACTTCACTATACATAGTGTTGCACATTAACTAACTGAATGTTCAAAAAGAAATACAAGTACGTATGATTTTTTTCTTACATTTTTTTTGTTACAAGTTACAATAATTTTTCAAAATACGTCAAAATATCACTCAAAAACGCCAACTACAAAAGTTTTCACACTTCCAAACACACAGAAACTACTTTATAAACTCACAACGAAAAAAAAACAATCACCAATAAACTAAAATTTAAAACCCTTACCTCCGAATTCAAGCGGGTCTCGAAGCCTGGATGTCCCCTGATCACTAGTACCGAACAAGAAAGCAGTGTTACGGCGGCGGCCAACGGGGTCATCCTAACAGGTGGTGGTTTAATGGTACGAAAACGAGCCAAACGTCGCGATACTAGTGAAGCTGTCCGACGCGCCCTCCGTTTAAATAGCGTCGCGACGCGAACGGCATCCTAACAGCCCTTGCGCTAGCCACATCGAAATTGTTTGCTTCTGCACTGAATTACACTTAAATGCACCACTGCACTAGATATTGCCTTGCTGACTCACTTGTCCGTCAATTCCAAACAAGACATTGCCAGTCGGGGGCGGCGACGCTCGCGGTGGGGCTTACATTTTTGAATGGTGCGGGGGTGCCGGATACGGAGAAAAAAATCAGAGGGGATTCTGGAACCAAAAATGTTTATTCGTCAAAAAATGTATACTTCCTTAATTACTTGCCATTATAGATAGATTGAATTTTTGAGCATATATCCGGCAACAAAACCTTTTATAAATCAAATTATTGTCAATATTGGAACTACATGTTGACACTAAGTATTTGGTAGCATTATCTGATAAACTAAATTATCATGTGTTACTTAATGTTTTTTGATAAAATTCGGGGATTAACTATAAAAAGAATGAATGAACGTTTACGTTCATAGCGCATTTAAAATCTTATCTGATAAGTTTTTGATACTGCATGAACTATTAAGACCTAAACATTTAGACAATTTGTAGTCTGCCTCACATAGAAAAGTTTATTTATTTTATTTAACAGGAAATATTTGCTTTTTGAGAAGATATTAACAAAGAGTAAAAGCCAAATTTAGTGGAAATTCACTTACTCATGCTTCATTCATTTGTTTATTACATTTTATCGAAGTTTCTGGATATTTTTACTTAAAAAATATTACATTATAACACATTTCTTAATCTCTCACTCGAGACTGCTAATAATATATTTATGGCAATTAAACTGACCTTAAAGCCAAGTCAAACCAATATCGCCGTTTTTTTAGGTCTAATTATCCTTTTGCAAGTTTAATAATATTTTTGCGACTTGAATTCGAACATTTATTCTCGACAGCACAGCGTTTCCGATTGTGATTGTGATCGTACTGAGTATGTGTTTTTTAATATGTGATGTGGGGTTTCGGTTCACGAGGAAATCTGCGAAAGCATTTTGATTTAATCAGTAGCTCGAATTAACGCAGAATTTAATCTTAATGGAAATGCCGTGTTTAAAATTGTTGATAAAGTGTGGCTTAATTTAACAACTTGTAAATTCTTTATGGTTGAACTTCTTGACCGAATGTGGTGTAATTAATTTAAGAGAGTAATTTTAATGTCCATTCTAGTTTCTAGTTAACGTTTGCTGTTTTGTCGTTGCCCAAATAGATGCTGAGTTGAGGGGAGACTAGCGTCCTCTGACAGACGGCTTGTTTGCAAAGACTGGGTAAAGAATATAATATGCGGCAGGTTTTTTTTGCCATAGAAATCTGAAATACGTGTTGTAGCTGTTTATAGAGTAAAATCACGGACGAAGGGTGACAGACTACTACGATAAACTGAAATTCCGCTTTAGTTACAACGTCGGCTGTAACTCGCTTACTGATTTCTCCACTACCAGAATTTAAATTTTCCGCCACACTGTCGCAATAACTTGAGTTTTTAAAATTGTGATTTTTAAATAATTAATTCGGAACATTTGATTTTAAATTTATTGATATTTGGTTGAACTCACATATCGTATGGTCATCAGTACTTACAGTATTTTGGCAACGATATATCTTCTAGGAAAAGAGAGGGTGGGTGGGTGGGGCTAGTAACTGCTAAGATAAAACTGATTTTGGCCAATGCCATATCCTCTAAGAAAAGAGAAGGGGGGTGGGCGGGGCTAGTAACTGTTAATTGTAACAAAAGAACCAATTTTAAAATTATTATTTTAAATGTTATAGACATTTAACAATTTTAATTAAATAAGCAGTTAAAATATACTATTTCCGTAAATTGGGGAGTATTTATTATTTAAGTAAGCGTCAAAGTTTTCTTAAAAATCACATAGATTTTAAAATTTATGATCTTTAAATTTCAATTTGAAATACTTGGACGACAACGAGCACTTTAACAACATGCTATCAGCTATCATAACCTCAAAATTTTGAATTCAAATTAATAACAAATAATTTTGTTCATATGTTTAATGGTACGGTTTTATAATTTTATTTATGCTAAATTTTTCGAATCGGCACATCGATATCTACTGATATCCTAAAGTTCTTTGTGGATTTTCAGACAACTTTTAGAAAAGCTCAATTTTTCAAAAAAAAATTTCCCGTATGAAAATTTCGACCTGTTTTCGAATACCTTCGAAAATTACCTAAAGATTTTTTTTTTCATTTCGACCTCCAGCAGTTACTTTCGGCTCCATTTTTTCGAAAACTCTTTATATTTTTCCAGAATTCATCAACGAATTAAGCCAATTTTTAAGATTTTTGAAAAAATTAGATTTTCAAACCGAATATTTCTAACATTTTGCTCCGGGATCATAAACATGCTATATTTTTCAAATCAGCACCTCGACACTATATTTCAGAAATATTCTTTGTGAATTTTTAGACAACTTTTAAAAAAGTTCAGATTTTCAGTACTCTCCCTTATGAAAATTTTAACCTGTTTTCGACGACTTTCGAAAAATACCTAAAGAATTTTTTTTCATTTCGACCTCCAGCAGTTACTTTCCGTTCCATTTTTTCGAAAACTCTTCATATTTTCCCAGAATTCATCAACGAATTAAGACAATTTGTAAGATTATTGAGTAAAATTGGATTTCAAACCGAATGTTTCTAAAATTTTGCTCCGCGACGATAAGCATGCTATATTTTTCGAATCAGCACCTCGAAACTATATCTCAGAAATATTCTTTGTGAATTTTTAGACAAATTTTGGAAAAGCTCAAATCTTCAAAATTCTTTTAAGAAAATTTCGACCTGTTTTCAGTTATCTTCGAAAATTACCTAAACAATTTTTTTTTCAGTTCGACTTCTAGCGGTTATTTTTGACTTCATTTTTTCGAAAACTTTTTATATTTTTCCAGAATTCATCAACGAATTAAGACAATTTGTAAGATTGTTGAGTAAAATTGGTTTTCAAACCGAATACCTATTTCTAAAATTGTGCCCCGTGGCTATAAACATGCTATATTTTTCGAATCAGCACCTCGAGACTATATCTCAGAAATATTCTTTGCGGATTTTTAGACAACTTTTAAAAAGCTCAAATTTTCAATACTTTCTCTTATGAAAATTTCGACCTGTTTTCAACTACCTACCTTCGAAAATTACCTAAATAATTTTTTTTCATTTCGACTTCTAGCGGTTACTTCCGACTCCATTTTTTCGAAAACTCTTCATATTTTTCCAAAATTCGTCAACGAATTAAGACACTTTTTAGGATTTTTGAAAAAAATTGATTTTCAAACCGAATATTTTGAAAATTTTGCTCCGTGACCATAAAAATGCTATATTTTTCGAATCAGCACCTCGAGACTGTATCTCAGAAATATTTTTTGTGGATTTTAGACAACTTTTAAAAAGCTCGAATTTTCAATACTTTGCCTTATGAAAATTTCGACCTGTTTTCGACTACCTTAGAAAATTACCTAAAGATTTTTTTTTAATTTCGACCTTTAGCAGTTATTTTCGAAAACTCTTCATACTTTCCAGAATTCATCAACGAATTAAGGCAATTTTTAAGATTTTTGAAAAAAGTTGGTTTTCAAACAGAATATTTCTAAAATTTTGCTCCGTGGCCAACATGCTATATTTTTCGAATCAGCACCTCGATACTATATTATCTCAGAAATATTCTTTGTGGATTTTTAGACAACTTTTAAAAAGCTCAAATTTTCAATACTTTCCCTTATGAAAATTTCGACCTGTTTTCGACTACCTACCTTCGAAAATTACCTAAAGATTTTTTTTTTTAATTTCGACCTTTAGCAGTTATTTCGTACTTTCCAGAATTCATCAACGAATTAAGACAATGTTTAGGATTTTTGAAAAAAAATGATTTTCAAACCGAATATTTCGAAAATTTTGCTCCGTGACCATAAACATGCTATATTTTTCGAATCAGCACCTCGATACTATATCTCAGAAATATTCTTTGTTGATTTTTAAACAACTTTTAGAAAAGCTAGAATTTTCAATACTTTCCCTTAGGAAAATGTCGACATGTTTTCGACTACCCTCGAGAATTATCTAAATAATTTTTTGTTCATTTCGAACTCCAGCAGTTACTTTCTACTTCATTTTTTCGAAAACTCTTAATATTTTTCCAAAATTCTCCAACGAGTTAATTCAATTTTTAGGATTCTTGGAAAAAATTGGTTTTCAAACCGAATGTTTCTAAAATCTTGCTCCGTGACGATAAATATGTTATATTTTTTGAATCAGCACTTTGAGATCTATATTGGAGAATTCTTTGTGGAATTTTAGACAGCTTTTTCAAAAGTTCAATTTTTCAATACTCTCCCTTATGAAAATGTCGACCTGTTTTCGACTACCTTCGAAAAGTACAAAAAGATTTTTTTTTTCATTTCGACTTCCATCAGTTACTTTCGATTCCATTTTTGCCAAAACTCTTCATATTTTTCCAGAATTCATCAACGAATTAAGACAATTTTTAGGATTTTTGAAAAAAATTGGTTTTCAAACCGAATATTTCGAAAATTTTGCTCCGTGACCACAAACATGCTATATTTATCGAATCAGCACCTCGAGACTATATCTCAGAATATTCTTTGTGGATTTTTAGACAATTTTTAGCCAAGCTCCAATTTTCAATACTCTCCCTTATGAAAATTTCGACCTATTTTCGACTACCTTCGAAAATTACCTAAAGAATATTTTTTTTCATTTCGACGTCCAGCAGTTACTTTCGACTCCATTTTTTCGAAAACTCTTCACATTTTCCAGAATTCATCAACGAATTAAGACAATTTTTAGGATTTTTGAAAAAAATTGATTTTCAAACCGAATATTTCGAAAATTTTGCTCCGTGACCATAAAGATGCAATATATTTCGAATGAGTACCTCGAGATCATGTCTCAGAAATATTCTTTGTGGATTTTAGACAACTTTTAAAAAGCTCAAATTTTCAATACTTTCCCTTATGAAAATTTCGACCTGTTTTCGACTACCTACCTTCGAAAATTACCTAATTATATATTTTTTTTTTATTTGGACCTCCAGAATTTACTTTCGATTCCATTTTTTCGAAAACTCTTCATATTTTCCAGAATTCATCAACGAATTAAGCCAATTTTTAGGATTTTTGAAAAAAAAAAACTTTTCAAACCCAATATTTCTAAAATTTTGCTCCGTGACTATAAAATGCT